CCTCCGCGGGAGCGGGGCCCCAGGGCCCCGTGCGAGCCGAGCTCTGACTCCACCGCCTCTCACGTCTCACACCCAAACCAACCGCAAAGCGCCCCCCCCTGCCCCCCCGCTTCTCTCTAAAGCACTCGTGGATCTGTGCGCGTCTCCCCCTCCACCACCGTCGACGCTGTCCAGGCCGCCCTGGCCCCGCTGCTCGCCCGCAGTGTCCCCGTCACCTGCCTTTGCACCTCCCCTCCAACCTGCTCTCCGCGCCATCATCTTCTACGAACGCATCCACGCGCCGCGTCCCCACTCTGCCCCGTTCACCGCTGCGTCCCCCTCACCCCAACCAGCGCTCAGAGCATCAGATGAGGAGACGCCTGCCAGACAGCTGTACCTCCATTTCCCACCCACGCCCAAACCGTATTATTAGGTCAAAAGCTAAAATGTTTTCTCCCCAAAGTTTCAACTCTTAAATATTCCTATTTTCTAGTCACCTGGACAAGAAACCTTGGGAGTCTGTTCTCCACATACATTCAGTGTTATTAAACCACAATCTATTTCCCTCCTTCCAATTATCACTGCCTCTACTTATTACTGATCCTAGCGCTCTCTTGACCTGTATATATTCTGAAACATCAGTGTATCTAAACCGCAGCTAATTAGGAAAAACAAAACTTCTCTGGTTCTTTTTTTGTAGAGCACATCGTGTTGGCATTCGAGGCTCTTCAAAGCCTTGTCTTCCATGTTATTCCCGCATCCACCCCGAGTTCTAATCGAATGGGGCTGTCGGCGTCCATCGGGGCCAGGCTGATCCCCCATCCCCTCGTTCCCCATGACTAGTGTCGGGCACACGATGGCTCCATAGTTTGTTGGACACCTTCCTGCTGGGAATCTGCTCGCCCCAAACGGCTCACCTGCAACACTGCTTTCTCCGTGACGGTTTAGTCGCCTTGATCCAGAGGACGCTGTCCCCTCTGGTGGTGCTTGTGGCACCTGGACCCCCCAGGGCCGTGCAGCGTGGCCGGCTGTCCCACCGCGGACGGCGGAACGGCCCCTGCTTCGGGCCCGTGGCGGTGTTCAGTGCACATGTGGCTGTTAAGTGCTCGCTGACTTCCACGGTCGTGATTCCGACTCCGGAATTCCACTTCCTGCTTCTCTGTGGATTCCTTCCTCGTCAAAGGAAAACAATGCTTTCCTATCAGGATGGTAATACCGATCAGATTCCAGTTACTCGATGCTGAGGGCCGAGGCCAGACGATGCTCCTCCCTCAGCAGCCAAACAGAACGTGCACCTGCCCTTGCTCTTTGGTCTTCAGTCCAGGAACGAAAGCAGGTGGCCGGGGTGAAACGGCCAACCTGACACACACACCGAGCTCTCTGAGCAGGCTGGGCCGCGACCGAGGACCACGCAGAGGGCCAGTCTCCAGAGAGCAGGCGCTGGGCACCCTCGCTCCAGGCTGAGGGCACGGGAAGGACCACAATCCGAGTGCCTGGCCCTGTGCCGGCGCCCGTCCATCCAGATTCCTGAGACGTCTCCTGAACTACTTGGAAAATGGCAAAGTGTACACATGTGGCTGGCGGTGGGGTGGGGACAGTGCCAAGATCTGTCCCAAGGACTCTGTCGGGCTCTATCTGCATAAGGCCAAGGGGGAGGAGACCTGAGGGAGAAGGAGGGACTTTCAAAGGAGCCACCCGACAGGGGAGGCCAGACCAGGGGCCTCCGGCCTCTCCGCCCCGCCCCTCCTCACCTGCTGCCTCCCAGCCGGTCACTCGGCAGAGCTGGGTAGGCGTTGCTTCCCGTTTTCAGGCTGATCTAACTCAAACCTCAAAGGTCCCTCTTTACTTCTTCCCATACAACCCAAAGGATTTGCAGTCTAGGAAACCAAAGGATAGTTTCATCAATAAATCAATTTATTTAAAAGAATATGTTACAATTAATTACACTAAGTGACATTACCAAACAATTTTAGAGTGGTTAGCTCTAGAACAAGGAATGAAAGAAACACTGTTAGCCATTATGGGTCTTGTGTATTTTCTCTTCACATTTCTTCAATCACAAATAAAAAATACAAGATACTGCAGTGAAAATACAATTAGAGTTTCTCTCAAATAAATTAAAAGTGTGCATGGTCTGGGAAAAACTGAAGCCCAGCTCACTGGCTTAAAAAGGGGCATGACGTAAAACCGGTGTCCAAGTTAGCAGTCAGCCAACCGCCTCCACCCCGTGGCACCACCCCCCTTCGGTTCTGATGCCCCCAGAGCCCCGAGCTTCCCACGCACCTGGGTCACTGCTGTCGTGGAGCGAGGCCCTGGCACCTGACACACCGTGCCGGGTGCAGACGAGGGGGAAAGGAGGCGGAGCTGGAAGACGGGGCGCTGATACACCCCACCGCCTCTGACTGCTCGACCACATCGCCCTCCCTCCGAAAGGAAGCTCACGTGACGAGGACTCTGCGAAGGGACCCAGCAGTGGGCTGAGTCCAACAGACCCCACAGTTTCTCCCACTCAATCACCACGGCCGGAGCACGATGGCAAGAGGCGGGCTTCAGACCAACTTGGACCCAGACGTGGCCCCCTTTAAACTGCCCATGCGCTGGCAGAGTCTGAGATGAGAGAGGTGCCACCTCCTGTCAGGGCCCTACACTGCTGCTCCGAGCACTGGGTTTGGAGCTGCAAGAGGGGGTCGCCCAGAGCTACCGGCCGGGGCGACTAGGGATGAGACCACAGGGCCAGGCACGGGGATGCTGAACTCCCTGAGAGCTCCGTCTAGGCCTGGGAGTTGCCCTGAGCACTCACGGGTGCTGAGCTTAGGCCTCGGGCAAGGGGAGGGCAGAAAAATGGAGGGCAGAATGAAAACATAAAGGGCAGAGCGCCCAAAGCACGGCCCAGGGAACCTGTCTGGGCGCTGTTTTCTCCTGATCCATGAAAAACTCGGAGCTCTTACCAAAGGGGCTGGAAAATGAGCGTGGAGCAGGGACAACAGACCTGGGAGGCGCTGCCGCTCTGCTGGGCCGAAGCAGGGGGAAGGGGAGCCCTTCCGCTTCCCAGAGACAAACTGCAAGGAAGCCTCCCTGGGCAGAACCCAGGACCAAGACAAGAAGTGGGGTTCAGAGAAAGAAGTGGGGAGCGGGGGAAGGAGTGTCACACTAGTACTGCTTCATGCAAAGAAGAACCTGGCCCCCTGGAGTGCGCCACCTCAGTGACTTTGCCTGTGACCCCCAGGGCCTCCCCCCTCCCCCACCGAGGGCAGCTGGGGGCTCCGTCGGGGTACGGCCTCCGGTAGGGGCTCTTCCTACACAGGTCCCACCAAGAGCCCTCCCACCGACAGGGCCTGCACCACGTGACTTCACGCCACAAAGTGACAGAACAGCACCCACCCTCTACGAGGGCTCTCCGCCCCAACCAAGGGCGTCCCCACGAGGTCTGGAGGTCAGCACCTGGGCTGTCGCAGAGCCTTCTGGATTTGTTCGTTCCTATCCCATCCAAGGGAAGGGGGACAAACTGCTGCTGGATTTTACAGCTTGAGCAAAGCTGGGGTCAAAAGCATCTTTAGTATTTGAGGTGGGAAATCAACTCTCTCCAGGGTCCTCTGGCTCATTATTAAAGTCATTTAAGCCAAGAGAAGTCAATCCCGCGTCACAGCTTTCGAATCAGAGATCACTCTCTGCCACTCTGATCATTCAGCATTCTGACACTTTACACTCTGGGAGTCCACCTGGTTTGGAGAAGGGGGAGGAGAGAAGGTTCCCTGTATGACCCCACACTCCCCTGGGGCCAACGGCTGCCAGGATGACAGAGTGAGAGAAAAAAAAGTGGCCTCACCATGATCTGTGAAAACGAGCTACAAAAAAAGAGACTTCAAACCACCTGAGCACTGCTCAGTGGACGTGACCACAGCCGACGGAGGCGGCCTCCCCGTTAGACAGAGCGAAAGACGCCGAGACGGCGGAGAAGGGAAAAAGGCTCGATGATGCGTTCGGTTGCATCAGAGCCTGACTCAGAGCTCCCGGCCCAGAGCCGGCCGAGGAGGCCGCCCTGCCCGAGCCAGCCTGGCCCTGGGCGCGCAGCGCTCAGGTCTCAGGGCTGACTGCAAAGTCAGACAAGGAGATCCGTAAGGGACAAAAAGATTTCCCTTCAGTCTCCTTTCAACTGAAAGTCGAGACTCAACCTGGATCGACCACATTTGTACTGCTCCTTCCTGGGCCCTCGGCTGGCTCGGAGGAGCTACGGTTGGGATGGCACGAACCACTGGCCTATTCCGGGTTTCCCCAAGGCTTTGGGGATACTGTCGGACACCCCCTCCCCCCGCACAGCTGTTTAAGAAAGTCACCGGGAGCGTGATGGCTGGTCATGGGCGCTTACTGGTCAGGAAGTGGGTTGGGAAAGCTGCCGACCACAGGGCATTTCTTGCTTCCTTCCCCTACCCAAGCCCAATCTTTGTGCCTAAAGCATCAGCTTTAACTCTGGTCCCTAGAGCTATCCCTGCTTCAGAAGAGGCAGGAACGGGAAACTGCGACTATGAAGTGTTTCAGGCTCCCGTGGCATCGGCTGCCAGAGCCCACCCTCCCCTCCAGGAGGCAGGAGGATGTGGGGTGTGGCTGGAAAGCCACGGGTGGGAGAGCGAGACGGGCCGGGAAAACTGTCTTGGATTCGAGAGGCCGCGCCGAGCCCTCAGACCCCCGTCCGCCTGCAGCCCCGCTCCCGAGAGGCACCCGCCCTCCCCAAGGAGCTACGCGCCTTGCTCCTCAGACTCTTCGGTGACCCACGAGCCGGAACCTTCACTCAGTACAAAAAAGGGGCAAAAAAAACCCAAGCAGGTTGTAAACTTTTCGAGTCCTTCACGAGGAGAGGTATTTTCCCTGTAAAATATTTTTTTCCTTTTTAAAGTTTGTTTCAAAATAAAGAGAGCAACAGAGAAGTCATGAATTCTAGTGAAAGGTGTGTAAAAACACAAGCTAAAAAAGGTACTGCCATCAATATGAAATTTAAAAAGAAATATATATATGTATATACGTGCAGCTAATTTGCGTATATATAGTTTTTACATACATACATATATATGTCTGAACAGTGCAAATGGGTGGAGTTCATAGTTCCAGTTTCAAAAATATGGTGCGAGGAGAGTCCGTTGGCAGGAGGCCCAGGCAGGAGGACAAGGACCTCTG